CCAGCAAGACAGACAGGGGTGGGGGTGGGGAAGCCTTCTGCAATTGAGCAAGAAGCTACAGGCTCAGGCTGCCTGGGTACTTGGACCAGGGTTGGGCCGAGGAGGAGGCTAGGCCTTCAGCAAATATTTCATGGGAAGCCTTTGCACTGGGTGAAACAGGAAATGGTGGTGAATCAGGGTAAGATTTATAGAAAGTTCTATCACCAACTCAGGAATGAAGGAGGGCCTGAAATGTGCAACTTTCATTTTTCATGGGATAAACTCATTTTTACAGTGAGCGCACAGACGAGAGCTGAAACCCGATTGTCAGGTTTTGAGGCAATCTACAGATAACTTGCCCTCTCTCTTTTGCCGGGAAAAAGTCGGAGTAAGTTGCAGTTATCTCTTAAATTAAAGCAACCTTTGACTCGCCTGGAATGGGCGAAGCGAAGGAAAGCAAAAAAAAAAAAAAAAAGTGTTGCGAGATCTTTAGCTATAATAATACATCACTTCCCGAACTCCTTCTTGGGAAAGGGGCTTGGAGCTCGGGGCTCGAGCGGAGCACGGTTCGTCCACCTTCGTGGGGCTGGTTATCGCTCTGAAAGCCCTCCTCCCGCTTTTTAACTTCATATTAATGTTTACTCCATCCTTGACTTTTTAAATCGTAATGCGCGCGCGCGCGCGCGCGCACACACACACACACACACACACACACACGATATACATTTACTTGTACGATCTACAAGTAAAAAAAAACATTTAAAACACACAGACACACACGTTTTTACTCGTCGATCGCGTCTGGAGTCCCTCTGCGAGGTAAATGGTTTTCAAAAAGCCGAGAGGTAAATGACCACACGAGGAAATCAACTTTAGTCATTTGGGTTGATGGTCTCGACGGGGGCGGGGAAGCGCCTCGTGGGAGCGTGTCATGAAGGCTGGAACTTTCCCCAGCCCGCGCGGAGGGTGAGAGGCTTGGGGCGAAATAAAGAAATCAATGGGGGTTTTCCGTGACCCTCCTGCGCGGGGGAAAGGGGCGTTTCCCGGAACATTTATAAAGAGGAGCAGCGCGTCTAGTCGGGTAAAAAGAGCTCAGGCGCCGGGCTTTGTGGGGCTCTAGCAGCAAAAGCAACCAGGATTTCAATTGGTTCAGTTTCCATTTCCACTTGGCTACATTCCGATCGCCTCCCGAGCAGACGCCTTTCCCTGAGTTTTGAGTTTCGTCTCGATCACCATGCAGCGGTCTTTCGTCTTTTTCCTCGTTGCTTTGGGCTCCTGGGCTTTTGAAAAAGGTAAGGCGGCGGTCGGTTTTTCACAATATCTTCCTCCAAACTCTCAGTTCCTAGTGCGAAGCGGAGATCCGTCACCGGTGGAATGTGGGATCTCTGGATCCTCTGCCTACACGCTCTGCCACCTGTCCAGAAACAGGTGGTTCTGGTCAGGAAGATTTTTGGGTCCTTAATTCAGGCTGCAGAGCTACTTTATGTCTCTGAAGAGTGGCATCGGGAAATGAATATATGAGATTGAACTCAGATCAAACCCTCAGCACCATTTAAGTCTTACCTAAACTACACCCTAGAGAACTACTTGGATGTAGTGGTTAGAAACTGGGGAACTCTGAGTTGTGCTTCTGTTTTAGGCATGAAACCAGGTGGGTGGCTTTGGGCCAGTCACTCTGTGGGCTAAAATCCTTTGGAAACTGCAAGTTAGGAAAATGGTCAAAGGGCAAACCACTTCTGCAAAACCTTGCCAAGAAAACTGCAGGTTCTAGTCCAAACAAGGCACAGCCACATGTACACAAACCATATGTTAACTTGTTGCCCTAAAGTTATAACTTTCTTTTTCTTTTCCTTCTGCCTATTCCTAGAAAAGAGCAGGAGTGGGACTTTAGGTGATTTCCCCAAAGCAGTTTCTGAAACACCAATTGCAGATTGTTTGTCTTAGGCATTCCTTCCCTCTGGTCTTTTAATTATTTGCCCGACCTGAAGGCTTGATAAGTATGGTTTCTTCTGACACACCTTCCCTGAATTCTTGCACACTGCAGTCAATATGCTAGAAGAAAAATAAACAAGAGGTTTCGCCCATCAACCCTAAGAATACTCGGTTATTTCCACCTCCTTGCATTTGATTTCCCATGAAAATACAGTTGGTGGGTTGAATATTGTTTGGTGATCACATTCTTTGTGGAGGCAAGATACAGATTTTGTTGCAGGCTAAGCTTGTTAATTAAAGGACAGCAGGACAATATTTAGATGCTGAAGCCCACCCTTTGAGTGCTGGCCAGACATTAGGGAGGAAG